AAGGAGACCCCGAAAGGAACACTTCAAGGAGCCCTTACACCTGAAAGGAACCCTGAAGGGAGCCCTTTTAGGAACACTCAAAGGAACCCCAAACTGGTTCCCTGTTGGGGCTATATTAAAAAATGATATATTTTTAATCCTGATTGGGTTTTCTTATAGCAAAAATGTAAAATTGTAGCCAACAAGGACGCAGTTAACACAAAACTCCAAACCCTAAACCCTAACCCTAAACCCCAGACCCCAAATTAGGGCCTAAACCCTAAGAAGGAGACCTTAACTCCTAACCGCCCCTAAACCCTAAACCCTAAGCCCCTAAACCCCAAACCCCAAACCCCTAAACCCCTAAACCCCTAAACAGGGACCAGCCGCAGCCCTTGGTGCGAGGCCATTCTTGGAGCTCAAAGCCGATCCACCGGCGAAGCCCAGCCAGCCAAACCTTGCAGTGGAGCTGCGAAGGGATCTATAAGGGTTCCTTTGAAGGATCTATAAGGGTTCCTTTAAGGCATCTAGAGGGGTTTGGGGTTTAGGGCTTTAGGGCTTTAGGGCTTTAGGGTGTTAGGGTTTCGGGCTTTTAGGGTTTAAAGGTTTAGGGTTTAGGGCTTTAGGGCTTTAGGGTGTTAGGGCCTCGGGCTTGTAGGGTTTAGGTTTTAGGGTTTTAAGGTCAATAGGGTTTAGGGTTTTAGGGTTGCTGAGAGAGCCCAATACCCCCTTAGTTGAGGAAGGTATCACTAAACGACTAGGGGTTCGGTTTAGCTCAGTGTTGTACTCAACAGCTACGTCTACGTAACTCCCAAGTATGAGTAGAAGAGGAGGTGTATACCCATAGGCTCCTTAGTAGCTCCTTTTTGGGATTACCTATAGGATTCTAAATATGAACCATAAAAGGAACTACTTAGGAGCCTATGGGTATGCAGACAACTCAACCGACGAAGGCCCGGGACAGCAATGGGCACCATACACACACAGGGGTTGGGGTTTAGGGTTTAGGGTTTAGGGTTCCTGCACACTCCAACTGTGGCATGCCTCCCCACTGCCTGTCGACCACACCCCCGAAAGTGACATGCCCCCGAAAACCGCTGTTCAGTGAGAAGCCCCCATGGCCGGGACTACCAGCGATCATGCCAAGTAATGCAGCTCACTGCCCTCGTCTCTTTGCATCTTTATCATGACAATATATATATATATATAGGTATGCATACAGTGCATACACACATGTCTATGCAATAAGGGGCAACTTTGCATCACAAAAACGATGGCGACTACGTATCCTTGGGGCGGTAAAACAGGGCTGATGGGTGGACCGACATTTATTCTCTCGACGCTTTCCAGTGGTTATTTGTTAGGTCTAGAGTTTAAGGTTAAGGGGCTGGGCTGGCTTCGTGCGAATGTATGAGGTCAGCCTATCGAGTTGTTAGAACAGAAGATACAATACGCAACATAATAATGTCATACCCTATATCATGCCATTGCATGTAACATCATACTGTTACTATCAGTCAAACCCAATCCAAAGTTGGACCACTGGAGGCTTGCATGGGGTAAAATGCGGCTCAAGCGCCCCTAGGTGTTGTTCGGGAACCCTCTCAGGGTTTTGGGGCCTGTAAGGGAAACCAAAACTACAAAACCCCAGCAGAATCATGAAGGTTTTCTTGGGAAACCCATTCTAACGGTTTAGGGTTTAGGGAAACCCCATTAGATACCAAATTTCAGGAAGCCTTCTGACCGGGAAGCCACATCAAGGATGCGCCCAGGAGGACGAAGGGCACATTGGCGGGGCCCAGTTCCTGCTGAAAGCGGCGCGACCGCAGAAAAGGCCGAATCTACAGGGTAAAGCCAACCTTGTGAGGATTTATACCGTGTTGCAGAGGGGTTTCATGTGGCTCAACAGTATTATGTAGGGTTTTGTAGGTTGTCTTAAAAGGGTTTTACAAGAGCTTCTTATCGTCGGGGCCCTTATTTCTGAGATGTAAACTCATCCGCATAAGTCTCCAGGCGTTCCGAACCCTCCAAGTGTTGGCTTGAAAACACGACAGAGGATACACTTCCCACTGAAATGACAGATGCTTAGGTGCTTGAAGGCATGGGCTTTGGGTCCGCGGATCAGGAAATTGTTCGAAACCCGACCTGCGTTGTCATGTCAATCTTGCGTGCCTATAGGGCTGTAGGAGTTTAGGCTGTATAAACCTTAAGCCCCTAAACCCTAAACCACACAGCATGTACGAAAACACATTCACACGCATATACATCGAGCTTGAAGCACTGTAAGCGGCACTACAACAATGCATGTGTTTGCATCTTCGTCAGACATCTATCACTGCATCACTATGTCTGTGCAAATCACTGCCATGACTTCTTTTGGACGTAACCGTCTGCAAGAATCTGCCTCACGATGTTGCACTTTCCTTTTTGAAGTTTGGTTTTGGCACACATGCCAGACAACTACGGTGAAGTGCCCAATACAAATACAAATATCGGCTTGATACCTAGTTGATGTTCAATATGGTGCCTAACTACTACTTCAACAGAAAGGGGAAAGTTTCAGATGGGTTTACATAAACCTTAAGCAATAGTTCCACATTATATAGCTGAGTTCTTTGCTATATTAACATGCTGTTAGTTCCCATCTGCATTCCGGCACAAGTAAATGCGAACAAAAAGTGTGATGCACAGGTAGTCTGTACCTGATCAACAATGACGGATATTTCAACAGTCTTTAGTTAACACGTAAATTGAATGCTGCATATCATCCGCACAGAACCACTGTGCAAATACTCTTTAGTTGCTACTTCAAGCCTACTTGTTGAGCATTAAACCTCTACTCCTCTATTCTGTGTAATACTCGTTTGGTGTTTGGATCATGCTCGCTGCATCTTTCCGTTGAAATCCAACAATGGAAGATTTTCGTGCAGCGCTTTGTATCTACATCGTCTTCAGGCTGTGTCTCACAATTACAGGTTTATGCACTAGTTAGTGAAAGCCCATCTAAATACTCGCCGGAAACCTAATTAATGTGCAGTGCCGAGCTCTCTACGTCTATGTAAGTAACATTGGATGAGGCAGAAGAGTATGAAACGTCACACAACTGGATGTATGCTCTAAGAGAAATAGCAATAAGACTCGTATCGCGGAAAAGATAGTGACTAAATGAGACATGGGCGAGGCGAGAAGTATAGGAAAACGTATTTAGTGGCTGAGGCCAGCGCCCGTGCACATGAAGTTCTGAGGACACACACCGGTGGTATAAACACAACAAATAGGTAGGTACATCGGGGGGGAGGTGTGGCATATACATATATATATATATTTACATACTGAAGTTTGTGGTATCGCCAGAGCCAAGGTATCTAACAGAGACTCTGGAATTCCTGAATTCAGGAAAAGCCTCAATCAGGTTACATAAGGGCACCTCGGTAATTTCTAGTATGTACTGTGTGGGTTTAGGGGTTTGTACTGTTTGATTAGTTAATAATTTTGGGAGTGGCAATGTCGAAACCCTGTGCCGCCCCTAGAATCCACAGCTTTTCAAGACCCAAGAAGCTGATAGACTGTCGAGACTCCTAGCAATAACATCATAGAGGTCCAAATCTGAGAATAGGGGCTTGAGGGTATTTTAGATTATGTGCTGATTATTCTGACACCTATACTACTGCTCCACTCTGAAGTACTATCTTCACAAGCCGATCCAACCTGCGATCTGAGGTTTGAGTTTAAGAGCTTACGTTTCTGGGGCATTTATTGGGGTCCAGGGCTTAGGGCTCGGCAGTTTAGCTTCTTGTTGTCTTTGACTTTGCGACGGCCCCTAATCGCACGAATGTGTCCTGGGCAGAATTGCGCCGCGGGCCAACGATGGCGCTGGCCACATAGCCGGAAACACCTGCACAAGTGGAGGTCCAAAGACGCCAACAATCCGAGCGTTTGGACATTGGATGGTTCTGATTTAAAGGCCAAAGTATATACTATTTAGGTACATGGACCCTTAGGGAATCGTTTTAGCTCAAGCTTGTTTCGAAAGTCCAGCACCATCATGGCCAAACCCCAGAACCACCGTCTTGCGGCAGAAGCCTCAAGAAACGTTGAACAGAAGCCAAGTCTGAATGGTTTAGGGTTTAGGGTTGTTTAGGGTTTAGGGTTTAGGGTTCAGGGTTTAGGGTTTAGGGTTTAGGGTTCAGGGTTTAGGGTTTAGGGTTTAGGGTTTAGGCAAAAGTTAAATATGGCTGAAAAGTGCGACTTTGCAGGGGATGTATCAAAGCCTGAGCTACGGCCACCCTGGCCTTCACTTTAAAATGCCTTGACCGACCAAAAACCCTAAATCTTAAGCCTCAGAATGCCCCTGAACCTGACAAGAAGAAGAATGGGAAGATTCGTGAGAATAACAAATAGCAAAGCAACCTCCTCCTCCTCCTCCTCCTACTCCTACTCCTACTCCTACTCCTACTCCTACTACTACTACTACTACTACTACGACGACGAAGTACTACTACTACTACGACGACGACGACGACGACTACTACTACTACTATACTACTACTACGACGACGACGACGACTACTACTACCACCATCTCCCACTCCTACTCCTACTCCTACTCCTACTCCTACTCCTACTCCTACTCCTACTCCTGCTACTACGACGACGACGACGACGAAAACCACTATTCCTTCTCTGTCTCCTGCTGCGACTGCTAGGAATAAACGTGATGACGATAACAAACGTGAGTATGACTGCACTAATCCTGAAAGATGCTCAGGTCGCTGCACCCACTCCCTGCCAGCGCCTAGCGCAGCAAGCGCTACCTGTGTCAGATTCGGTGGCTCAGGTTGCAGCTGTCCTGCGCCGCTTCTTTCTGTGTATGAGTGTGAAGGCGGCACTTCGTATCTCCCTCCGCTACCGAGGACCTGGGCTTGATCGGGGATGATGCATGGACTCTTGGGTCGCACATCCGCCCTGAGAAGTCAAATGTCCTCACTTGCAGCCCACCCTAAAGTCTGCCAACCCGGAGCCTTCTGCGACACCACCGTCGGGCATATCGCGATGGTGTCTTGAACCTAGACACAGACTTGCTGGGTGGTTTGTGAACCAAGCATGCAGGCAGCTCACAAACAGCAAGCTGGATTGCGTGTTTGACTTTACTCAGAGTTTAATTCTGATGTATGCACGCATGTATTTGTGTTGTGGGTGGAAGCATTACCTGTTCATGCTCACGATGCTCATGAATCAATTCTCCGTGTGCGTGTGTGTGCCTGTGCATGAGCTCGTGCACCGTAAAACTGCGGAGACAACGATGACAGTCACGAGGAGTGCGATAGTTGGCGCTGCCGTCATACTCGGTTCTACTACGTATGGGATGCGGTGCGAGCGATTCGCCTGCATGGCAGCGATCGTTCTGAGACTGCTTGCCACACTATGCCCCGGGCAAGGACATGTCGTAGAAGAAGCTTCTTTTGACCGTGAAGAGCAAACCCTTTCAAGAATGGTGTAAAAGCTGAGAGCCAGGCTTTCATGAGTTCCGGGAGAAGGCTGGGTGGGAACGCCTTGGTTTGCCATTTCATGGAGCCAGAGTTCTGGAAGATGCCAGAAGCCGAGCATCCGGCCAAGTAGCCTGCACAGGTCGTAGATCATGCAGTGTCTCTCACACCAAGCTCACAACTTGAGTTCACTGGCCACTGTAGGGCACGTGCCGTCGCTGAAAGCTACAGCTACACGGAATCTGGCGCCTACTCGCCATCCCATCATTCCGAAGGCCTGTGCGATTCCACGGAATGGGTGAATTGGCTGGACTGCTTGGAGTCTCATGAACTGGCTGGCTGTCACCATGTATATCAACAATGTAGGGCATAGGGCATAGGGGACAGAGTTTCACGAGCCGTGGTGAGACCCATGTCTGTGGCAACATGACACGGGGACAAGTGCCTTGCTGAAAGAGAAGACGTTGACCACGTGGTCTCCGCTGATGCAGCTGTGGGAGGGGTGGCCGTCCTGGCAAAGGTGGGGTCATCTTACATCTACTAATGACCATCGTTCTGTCTGGAGGGGCTTGGCTCACTGGTGGGCATCCATCTACGGCCTGTTATAGGCTGCTGTCATTGATATTCCCGATTCTGCTCTTCACCGCGTTGGGCCTGTCCCATTGATACCCGCAGGGTTTTCTCTTCAGTCCGCTTAACTGGCTCAACTTTCACAAGCCTTGCCCACCTACGAGGCTGTAGGCGGAGACACATCCCTGAAAGCGATGACAAAGCTTGAAGCACTTCGGCACTCCTCTTCGTACGTGAAATGCTCGTAGGTGTTGTCCATAACCAGCCAAGCACCATGCTTTTTGCACAGAGCAGACAACCGATCGAGCCTTCAGCATCGCTTGGCAACATTACTTCAAGGTTGGCTTGTTTGCACATATATCCACGCAAACAAGATAGGGGTTTCCCCGTACTTCTGCTTCTCTGCTCTTCAATATCATGTGCCCTCAAACCGGAAAACCTCGTACAACAGTGCCCTAGAGCCAGATAAAACTCAGCCCCGCTCTGCAGCCATTACACAGACACCTTGAACTCTCCTACTCCCCGAACCCCAGAGAAAGGAAAACAGCGGGCTACCGGGCATCGCTTTCGGCAGGATCATGCCGGTTGGATTGCCAGGGTTGACCTCTGCGGCCACGGAGACACGCAGTTTACACTGCCGAGTCGGCTCCAGGATTCGTCGCGCGCCCGTCATTGCAAAGCAGACAACCCCACACAGCTTCTCATCCCCGGATTGGAGGCATACAAACTGCGCACACCTAATCCGGCTAGGCCCAGTCCTCCTTTCCACAACCTCCAACACTCATCCCCGCATGAAGCTTATGGGTGAGCTTGTAGCAAACTCGTTCCAACACAGCTCAAAGCTTTGAACCTTGGCTCCCTGCGACCGTGACCATGCGAATCCGTTCGCCGACCGGTGACTCGGCCAGCCTCACAGACTCACCAATGCCAACAGCAAAGCTCCAAAGGTCAAAGTTCAGCTCCAAGGTTTTCGATTTTGGGGCCCTCGGTCCAGTGACGTCAAGGAAGCCACGGGTAGCCTTCCGAAGAATTCCTTCTTGACTACTTGCATGTGTGTGAAAACCGACTGTGCCACAGCAATGTGTTCCGGTCCTCGCGAACACGACTCACACATGAAAAGGCTCTTGCAAGCTGTGGATCATCCAAATTCCAGCCCTTAGCTGTATGCAATTGCGAAACGGATGGCTGGAACATCGTGGCCATGTATCCAAGCGCATAACTGCACGTAGGCAGACAAACATGCCTTTCATCTTTGTTTTGATAGTGACGACTGTATGTAGTTTAGGGTGGCCGGGTGAAGGTACGCCACGCTGCTTGTCGCGGTAGAGCAATGGGCATGCTGTGAAGCGTCTGTTGAAGTGCATGCAACGGGTGAGATGCAGGCAAAGCGATGATGACTGCGCAGGAGCTTCAAGACGAACTCTACGTCCTTGCATCTCAAAACTCTGGCATAGGAACTACATTGCCGCTACAGGGCCTCTTCTCAAGCCAGTCGACATCTGGGAGGTAGTCCTCGGATGATGCGCCGTTTGCAGGTTGAGACTGCCAGGACGAAGTGGGCGAGGGGGATGGTCACTACGAAGACAAAGATGCGGGTACACACCTGGCTGGCAAACGCATTGCTGATGACGAAGATAAGATGCTGAATAATGATGGGTGATTCTGCTCGTTGTTGTGGCAACTGTGTGGCGGCATGGCGGATAACATGATGCTGTCGCAGATTCAAGCATGCCTCCTCTCTCTATAGACAAACAGGCAAAGTTTGTTCTAATTTTGTCCTTGCAGTTCACTTGGCTAAAGGCCCTTCCTGCGAGAAACTGCAAGGACCACGTAATCTGTTTTCCCTGCGATCCAAGCCTTCTGGGAAAAACTCGCAACAGCTGAGCCTCCAAGCAGCTTTTGGAGCAACACCACGGTATAAAGCCAAAGCCTCTACAACAAACCACACAAGCTCCAGCCCACAGGGCACTTTTGCATCCAAAATGCTAGCAAACGCTCCGCCCTCAAGCCACAATTCCTGCGTGCAACTACTAAGCCGCGTTGAGGCCGGTCCTTTGTGCTTGGCGCAAGCACTACAGAGGCGTGCCCGCCGGTCATCTGCAATGCCATCCTAAATTGGACGCACATGTCGGTCTGAGGACATGGCTCGAGATCGTATGTACAGAATGACATACGTGAGTCTGCCTGTCTCTGTCTGTGTGAGAATATGTATGTTACGTATGTAGGTATGTACGCACTCGACATCAGACCAAATATTGACAACCCTTCATGCGGCACGTCTTGTGACTCTCAATCAACAGGCCGCACATTGAAAACATCGAAACCGCACTTCTACTCAGTGCTTTCGATCAGGCTGTGGTAGCGCTGGTCAGACTGAGATCGCATCCGGTGGTTGAAGTAAAAGGGGCTGAACAAGACAGCAGCATCCTTTGCAATTTTGCAGCACACGGCCGCAGGCTAGATGCATCGTAATGACCTGTGACGTGTCAGTGCACTAGCAAGAGAATAGACGGCTCAATATCGGGCTGCAAATGTTTAGGTCAAGTCAAGGGCTGCATTCCGCAGGGCATCGGTCCTGCGAGTCGAGCAAGGTGCACACTAGGTTCGTGTAGGCCTGGTTCGCTCCTGCCGTCACCATAACCTCATAGCGAGCAGAAAGCATCACATCCTTGGACGCAGATGTTGGAGCGGTGTTCGTGGCAAACACCCTGCCTCTACGCCATCCAAGCCGTTCTCCCGGCGCAGCTTCTCCTGCCAGCACTGAAAACTCAACGGGGGCTGAATAAACTCACGACTCCAAACACTATTGCAAAGCGGAGCAGACACTCTAGGCGCCAAAGGACTCAAAAGATCCAACAATGCAAGAACTGCACCCACCTGAATCGACAAACTCTCCGACCCTCTACATTTACGGCGGATTTCGAGCTCGGAGCCATCCTTGGATCCCTGGCCCAGCAATCTAAAGCCTGAAGTCTTCGCGCCCTTGGCTAGCTGGTCCTAGCTTGGACCCGGTCTGGGCTCCTTCAAAGCTTCCCGCAGGACCGGCCTCAGAGTTGCTGGCCGCTGCCCGTCGGAATTCAGCTTGCTCAGCGGGCAATGTGAGGTGATGTGAGGTGCATCTTATAAGATGACAGACGGTGACGCACTGCTCTCTTTGAGGCTCTGGGCAATCCATCATCTGCGCCTTGGCAGAGATTCTGAGCGAGTGAAAAATACGTGACTTGAGGGCTCGTAGGTAGAAGGTACAGTGTCCCTCAGTAAATCCACCAAGATGTTGCCAGACTCGACAAGCACGTCGCAAGAAAATCCAGGCAGCAAGACTGCAACACTGACACTGAGATCATGGCAGTATGAATTCGTGTCAGGCTCGCCTGCCGCTTTCGCGGCTGCCTCGTTGGGAAGCTGCGTGAGGTTTGTTTGTGTCAGGGCCCACTGAATCTGTCTGCACAGCAAGGCAGTTCCTGAACCCATTGCGCTATGTGCCACTGATGTGATTGAACTTCCAGGAGAGTTGCACACGTCCACACGCCGGAGGGTTCAAGAGAAAACTGTACGCCGGAGCTGGTAACTGAATTTTGCTGAGTCCATCAAACCATGGTGCGTAAGTTCACTACCTACACTGTACCTTAATTTTCGTGAGCACTTGGAAGCAGACGCTACCTAACGACCGAACAAACCATGCAAATCCCCTCAGTAAACTCGGCTCTGGTTGTACGACTTTGCGAGCATATGGTTCAACATGCCAGCATCTAGGCAGAGTGCGAGGCAATCTCCAGAATCAAGGCTCATGTCATTAGACCGCTGCAGCATGCTCAATCCTCGAAGGCATGTCTAATGCAAATCAAACCGTAACCAAACCTCGGACAGATTAAAGGCCTCAGAACCCACAAATGCCAGCAGAACAGCCGATCAGCCTCGCTGGCAGCCACTGGCGGCGCCCAATGCACAATGCCCTGAGCTAGGGACATGATGCCCTCCTGCGCACGCGCACAGATACTTCGACTGCAGGCACCGAGGAAGCGCTTACAGTGGTCTTCGAACTGAGTACCTACGCTCTCATATTCAGACCCTCGGCTGAAGTGCAACACTGCTGACTGAAGAGACCAGCAAACCAAAGAAAAGTAGCAGAGAGCAACCATCTCATGGCGTACAGCGTACCACGACACTGGCCTTGCCACGCAGCATCCTTTGCCTTGGCAAGACCAGAGTGGCCGTAAAAGCAAGGACAGGATTCACTGCAATACTTCTCAGCTCAGCACAGCATTTGTGATGGTGACAATGGAAATGTCCCATTGGGCAGCAATTGTGGCTGGTTGAGAAGCACAGCGAACATCATCGCTAGTCGCCGTCCCGTCATCACAATGACAGGAGCAGTAACAGCAACAGGAGCAGCAGCACCAGTAGTAGCTGCACTAGTAGTGGTCGTCGTCGTCGTCGCAGCAGTGATACTGGTAGAGGTAGTTGTAGGGATGGGGCAGGGATCATGTTCGTCGTGGTCGAGCTCGTCAAAACCCTGTCAGGACTAGCCATCCTACATCCGTCTCCCAATCTCATCTCGCCATGTGTGCTACGATCATCACAACGATCCTCACTTCTATCGTCATCGATGTCTGTAAGAGCCCTCGGTCAGCGACTCCTCTGCCTTCTATTCCGCTCGCAGGCTAGGAGGCGGAGATGCGGCATGACTGATGGCTCATGTCACGGAGCAAACTTCCACGAATGAGACCGTCACATCGCCACGATGCATGGCTCGTCCGTCAGTCGGATGCGCTTGCTGGGCTGGACCACCTCGAAAGCTTCCCGAGAAAAGTGATCAGGCGTGTCCGATTCCTTGCTGCCGAAGTCCCAGCCCACCTCTTGGCTCGACGCTGCCATGGCAGACCTCTGGCAGAACAGGTACCTGCACGAGGCTTGGGTCCGAACCCTTGAAAGATTCAGTGCAAAGTGTTCACCGCTCGGTTACATCCAAGCACAACAAAAGGAGTAAGCAGCTCTGTGGCTAGCTCTCGCCTCAGCCTGCAAACCAAAGCCTTCAAGCGCTTTGACCCTTAAACCTATGAAGAACTCTTCAACAGCCTGCAGTCCTGCGCATGCAGAGAAGCAGAATATGCAGGTAAATCTACAAGCATCGGATGACAATACTTGTGCATACACACAAAATACAATAATTGATTATATATATATATGTGTGTGTGTGTATGTATATGTGTATGCATATATAAATTGCTTAATGAATCAATTAATTAATTAGTTAATTAATTAGTTAAATAATTAATTGATTAATTACATGTGCAACCAGCTCTCGTTCATTGCTTTGTCCAGAAACAACATGCGACCGTTCGTTAGTGATTGCATCCGTTCAGTTATTCTCTCTTCCTCCCTCCCCTCCCATCCCATCCCCTCCTTTCCTTCCCTCCCTCCCGTGCATCTATGCTCTGAGAAAGCCCCAGCCTCGGCCCGGCCCCAACCAGGGCCAGGGCGGAGGCGAAGATGCGCCTGGGTCTACTCCGGGTTTTGGGTTCGGGCCCATTGGGTTTTTTTGGGGGGGATGTCTGAGGGTGTTGAGTTTGTAGTGGCGTCGAAAACTGTTAATAGCATCCCTCCGCGCCATCTGCAACCCTCCAGCCAAAGCCCTGATATGCCAGGTGGGGCGCCTCGTCGTTGCAGCACGCGGCTTGTATGGGCCAAGCATAGAACCGGGGCACTAAAATTGGGGAGGAAACTGACAGGGTATTGGAGGCTTTGAGTTCGGCATGTGTGCAGCTGATAAATGTCCAAAGGGACAGAGACGCAGAATACTTTGGTGGGAATACTTGAGAGCCGTCAAAGCCGTAGACTCATAAGTGTCGCATACTCTACACGGCATGAGGTGCTCAATGCTTGGGAAGTGGAAGCTGCGATCGCTTTTGCCTACGAGCACCCCCCCCCCCCGCGCCCACTTTCTTCACATCTGGGCTAGCATGCTACAAGTTTCAAGTCTTGAGCCGACAAAGACTCCAGTTAGAATGACGAAGTTTAGCCTAGCGTTGCTGTTGTTGCTGTGGAAGGGGTGATGAGCGAGGGGGGGAATGACGACCGCGATTACCACCCGGAAGCCAGACGCTCAAAACAAACACCCCGATCGAAAAGCGCACACACAACGAAGACTTTGTCCCGCTCATCACGCAAAGGCCTCATACTTGCGCGGGTGGATGTTTTCAGAGGGGTGGCAGTGCATTTTTTCTCGGTGTGGCGGGGCCCTGTTTTGTGGCTCCTTGCTTGAGAAGTTTGTCCGCATGAACATGTCGAATTTGCTAGTATGGGAGACTTTATCGAGTGAAATGTTGCGTCGTATTGAATATCTGTTTTGGGGGTTGGCCGCACCTGATAGAGATGGAATATATGGCTCTCGGGCTACTCGCTGATGCGCACTCGATATCAAGCCATCCAACCAAGGTCCTAAATCTGGAATCGGAAGCTCCACACTTCATGACACGGTGGAAGGGGGTCCACGGTAAAACAGTGTTCCTTGATAGGCCCTGTCAAGAATAGGCAGTTATTCTTCGATCCACTGAACATAGTAGCGGCTGCTACAACGACAGTAGCTACTGCTTTTCCTCAGCGACACCCAACAAAGAATATGTCAGAATGAATACTTCTGCCTCCAGCGGCAACAACTGAAGGCTTCCTAGATATGGCTGTTCGAGCTCGGACGACCAGGCTATTGTCATCCTCACTCCGCCAGTCGCAAGGCCACCACGTGAACCCCCTGCATCCCCCTGCTGCCACTCCTGAGGAATCCAGGAAACAACAAAGACGGGAGTAAAAATGGTGATGTGGGTCCGCGGGAACTTCAGGGCCTATGGGACAAAAGCATCGGACCTGCATTGGCCTATGGATACCCAAAGATCCCCAAAGCGCTATCATGGCACCCCGAACTGCAGATCAGTCTTGTTTCAAGATCACCTTGGTCCTGTCGTGCTTGATGTCAAGGCCGACAGTCCCGAACTCGTGATGACGATTTGGCCAGGACTATGTCTCATGATGATTGTGCTCTGTAGTGCTATTACGGCATTTTATTGTTGAAGAGCAGCGGCAGATGCGGCAGCGGCAGTAGCTGCTGCGGAAGTCGTCGTCGTGGTAGTAGCAGTAGAAGTCGCAGCAGTTATTGTGGTTGCAACTGGGAGCCACAAATGCCTTCACCTCCTTTTTTGCTCCCAGCCGCGCCGCTGTGTGAAGCAAACCCCAAAGCCTCAGGGCACTTGCATGCCCTGCACTTCCCACTGCCTCCAGGTTCGAGTGCAAGGTTCAAGGTACGGGTTGGGGGTGGGGTTAGACTAATAGATTTTCGGGTGTGCAGAATTGCGGACCTCGGAATTGACGATGAGTGTATGTAGCAATCTATGTAGGGTCTATAAGGGAACGGACCCGCTTCCAGGAAGCCACATGCAGCGCGCGCAGGTCCTGTTGTAGGTGGCGCAGCACGCCCGATAAGGCGATGCTGGCTTTAAAAGCACGCAATTATCAGACCCTCACACCTTTTTAATGTACAGCTTGCTGATGCAAGGATATCTTTGATCTGATATCTTCCCATTCGAGTCAACAAACGAACAAATGTCATGAAGCATCGCTGCTTCAAGGTCCAGGGCGGCAAGCTCCTTGTGCCAGGAAGTGTGGTGTTCTTTCTCTGGAGTTTCCTGGCTTTTCTTCTTAGGTCGGCTTTGCATACCAGCATGATGGTACACATCGCTTTCTTTAATGCCATCTTGTCATTTGCTATCTCCTGATTAGCAGCACGTGGGCTCCTTCCCAATACATGTCACAATTTTGAGTGCACATGGAGGTGTTCCTCAACCCCTAAAGATCACCCCTCCGGTCCTGTGTCTGCGCTCACTCTAGGCGACGTGGCGTCCGCGGATCCAGAGGTGGTGCCTCGGTAGCTGCTACGTAACTTGCTTTCATGTCATGATCATGATCATTATGGGCAGCAGAAGCAGCCATCTGCTCATTGCAGCAGCAGCACCACCTTCACTTCTTCATCACCATCATCAGCATCATTTGCTCATTCGTCTTCTTCTCCTGTACTCCTTCCAAATTGGTGGGTAATTGTGTTGAAGGTTGCAGGCAGATCGTCTAGTCATTGTCGGATGTATGGTTCAGCTTGGGGCACTTAAGGCCTTCGGGTGTACGAGCCTCAAAGATCCCGAGAGCAGTGCGCCAGCAGAGGCTAGACCTAAAGTTCAGGCACTTCACCTCAAACACCGATTCGATGGCCCGCGTCTATACTGCGCGCAAGTCCAGGCTTTCTAGACGCTAAATCGCTAAACCTGACATCACAGTCACAAATCGGGCTTTCGAATAGGGGCCTTCGCACCGGCCCAGGCCGACGACTGCATGGCCGCACGTTTCTGCGCCTGGGCGAGCTGGGAGGGAAAGAATAGGCTTGCATTAAAAGACCGCAAGGGCACTTTGGCAAGCTTATAATCGTAGTTTAATGTTCCTGCTAGTACGATACCCGAACCACTGCCACGCGACTGCCACTCCCGCTGACACTACCACATTACCATGTCCTGTGTGCGAGTACATAGTGCAAGCATCAGGCAGCCAAAAAGCGTCCTGCAGTACAGTACACCGTCGCGGCACTGTCTTGAGTCTTGGGTAGACCTCGTCATACTATCCACCTCAAAAGTCACACTCAGTGTGATGTCGCTTTTTCTTGGTCTTCCTAGTGGCACAACATGGCACGACTTTGCCGTCACATGTATGAACATGAATTACATCACTGATGCTCCAGCTGCTGCGAATGATTCGTGACTGCGAGTAAGATGATGTGAATGCTTTTGTTAAGCTTGCTGATGGCCTTGATACCTGTTGTTGCGGCTGGTGACAGTCAATGGTATTGCTAGTGTTGCGGTCGTGGCCGCGGTTGTGGATAGTGTTTTTGCTCGTGCCGGGCTTTACAAGGGTTTCGAGGTTGCGGGGCCGTCAGGGTTCCGAGCATGTGCGGTTAGAGTGTTCCGGCTGGCAAGTTGGCCCGAAGGAGCAACGCGCAGAGTCCGAAAGCAGGAAGCTGAAGCTCGAGTAAGTGCCATTTTCTCAGCTCCCGGCCAGTCTTGCCTGTGCCTGCTCTCGCTGAGTAACCGCCTGCTGCTCTGAGGGACGACACGGACGACACCCCGTTTGCTAGTTTCAATTCGATTTAAGCTTCCGAAGACGAGAGACAGGCAATGAAACCTGCCCTGACCGAACTCTGTCGGTATGGCCTCCAGAAGGCTTTTTTCAAGCTCAGTCCTGTGGCTTCGTCACACAGTTGACTCCGTTTGCTAGGCCTTGAGACAGAGGTTCACTTCCTTCTCCTTCAATCAAGCCTACCTGGACTGCCGCCAGCACACACTTGTAAATGCGCCAGTCTTCGACATTCTCGTGCAGTGGCAGACTTGCATCGGGCTGACATGACAACAAGCTGATTCAATGCAGCGGCCGCTTCTGCGTGGGTTGACAGGAGTAGGAGCAAAAGTATCAGGACCGAATGGAGAGGCCGGAAAGTCCGGGCTGTCCTTAATGCTACTACAATCTCAATGTGCAGGAGGGGATGATGTTGGCCTCCCCAACATTCAAAATAACATCCGTCCCATGGTGTCCTTTTGGCCGCTTCGGCAGCCATCACCTCGACCTCTTGCTGCTTCGCCTGGCAGCGAAGAGCTGGTGGAAGGGTGTCTGAAGCTAGCCCATCCGATTTCGATACTCACGACCGTCGTTTTGGACCTGCTGCGTGTGAGTTTGATTGCTTGCCTTTCGCTTCGGCATCTGGGCTCACAGCCCGAGGATCCCCAAGTTCCCAGTTTCAACACCCAGCCTTCATAGCAGCCTCCAAGCTGTGCTGCTCCTGCAAGAGGCAATGCATGAAACAGGAGTGAAGAGCCTGGAGAAACGGAAATCACAACTTCACATGTTCTGGCAACGAAGCGAACACTTTGATTCGGTGCACTGCGCCAATTTCCAGCATTTCGGCTTCCAGCGTGGCCCATACCGTCTCGCTACATGCTCACGTTTTCAGAACGGGTGCTCAACGCTCCAACGCAAGCTCCTGGACCTGTCACGACTGTCACTATAAAGGATGGCCTTCAAAGCCTTCTCGGCAGAGCGCTGTGCCTTCGAAGCTGCCACATGAGCCTCGGCTTGACAAGTTCTCCCTCTCTCCCCGCTCCGCACCCCCTCCCCCTTGATGGATGGATGCATGGACGCATGGATGGGTCTGCACCTACGAAGCAGCCAAGTCGAAGCTCACCTAAGGAGTTGCACCTGAACCAGCAAGTCTTTTTCAACAATGAACCTACCCCCGAGCCTTCTCCGCACATGCCTTGGCATTTTCCGCCCAGTGGACCAGCTTCCGAATCTCCTGGTCAATGTCACTCCATCTCAGTCTCATGACTGATCTGTGGCTTATGACCCCGATGTACTCAAAAACATTTCACAGAACGTAAGAAAGCGCTATGCACAGTCATTGAAACTTGCCTTGCCAACGACGAGCGATCGCACAAGCTGCCCGAGGCTGATCACTGTTTCACCACGAGATCGCGAAGAAAGCACAGGGAGCTAAAGGGAGGGAGGGAGGGAGGGAGGGAGGGAGGGAGGGAGGGGAGGGAGGGAGAGATAAATACACAAACATCACAGAATCAGCAAAATTCATGAGCCATTAAGCTGAGAAAAGGTAAGCGAAACAGTGCTATCACTCGGCCACATATCATCCACCCGTGGCCTCTTCCAATGCTTTCGTACGAAGAGAAGCCTCCTTGGCTGCCTGCTTCGAAGCTCTTTCCGGGTGGGAAAGCCAATGAAATTCATGGAGCATGTGCATGTCATGGGATGTCAGGGGAGCTCACGGCATATGAAGCGTCATCGTCAAATGCGGCTGCTCACGCATAGAACCCGTGGCCTAGATTACTAAACAAATGAATTCTGACTTTGTCGAATGCCTCGGCCGGGTCAGACACCTTCGTCTGATTGGAACTTCGCAAGGGGATGTTGAAGGAACTGCTTGGGCTCTTGATAGGTTCCGTTCTGTTGCGCCAAGCATGTCTCTCTGACCTTCGTTTCAACCGCACACTATGCACTGCCGCACCCTCAATCGAAGGACACAAAGCTCTCAACATGCCAACAAAGCCAAATCCGAAAGTCCAAGTCTCGAGCTGACTCCGAAATCGGAGCAGCTGCCAGAACATGCGTTCATGCCGCATGCCCATCATTTCATATACCGAGCCCTCGCTGTGCAAAATACTCACGATCAAATCTGTGCTCGAGATTAGAGATACTCTGGCACAAGTCTGACTTTCTGGTATCTCACGCACACACACACAACAAAGAAAAAAGGCCCCTTCGAAGCCTGTTAAGGCGGCTGGAAACGAGCCCCCAATTGATTACAAGGCTACTTGCGCACCGAAGCCCAAGCAAACGGCCTGCACGGCCTCCTGTGAGTCCCTCTCACGGGCTCGGCACGCTCTCACAGCCTCTTCTGCAGCCTTCACACCACTTCTACAAACATCAGCGCGGGTTTGATGGATGCAGCAGAGCAGCTAAATGCCGCGTCTTGCAACAAAACAGGGCGAACTGTACAGACTCGGAGATCTAAACGCAATTCCCTTGGAACTCTATGGAAATATTGCAGTTCGATGCTGCTTTGACGGGATTAGGCTTTTCTCCCGCCGCCTCCAGCTCTGATGGTGCTGCATTGCCAGCCTGCATATACACTGAACATGGAGAGGTGTCTCGCTTGCGCCTGCACCTGCCCTGCCTCCGGAACTGCTTTCGGCGGTGGGCTGCTTTGCTTTCTCACCTTCGCCTCTGGGGTAGAGGGCCCCGGCGCTCGAGGCGCCTCGCGGGGTGGGCTTGGGCCTGGGCCGTTTGGGACCGCCGGTGGCGACGCCTTGTCCTGCACCGGGCTTTCTTTGGGCGACTGCTTGGGAGCAGCTTTCGGAGTCGCTTGAGGTGTTGGGGGTTCGGGCTTCGGCGTCGCCTTCGGGCTGGCCTTCTTGGGTGAGGCTTTGGGAGGGGTGGACTTAGGTGGCGTGGCCTTCGGTGGAGTAGCTTGTGCCGGCGATCTGGAACGAGCAGATCTTGGCGTAGGCTCTGCCGGTGCGGGCTCCGTCGGCTCAGGCTCATCTTCAGCCTGTGTCGCAGACTTCGCAGAGCTCTTGGGCGTGGCCTTGGGCGTGGCCTTGGGCGTGGCCTTGGGTGTGGCCTTCGGGGTGGCCTTGGCGGCCTCACCCTGAGATCTTGTCAGCGCAGGTGTCGTCTGCACCGCTGCTGATGCAGTGCTCGCTCGCACCGGAGTGGAGGGTGCCTTCGCCTTGGGTGAGGCCTTGGGCGTTGCACTTCGCCCACGACCGCGTGGTGTCGTTTTCGGAGAGGCTCGGCCAAAGCCTCGCCCACGGGGCGTCGCTGGCGACGTGGCTTTGGACGCTTGGCGTGGAGCTGGTGATGCAGAGGGCACATCTACCGGACTGGAAGGCTGGGCACGCTTTGGCGTGGAGAGCTCTGCTGGCGCTGCAAGCGATGATCCAGGAGCTAACCTGATCCACTGATCCACTGCAGACAAGCCAACGACCGAGAATCCAACGGCATGCCATTACGGGCAAACCCACCCCAGGTCTTCGTAGCTGAAGATTGAGTGCATCCCGGTGGCCGCTCTTCCAAGTACTCCTGAGCCTTCTGGCTGATCGACAAGTTATCGATGATGTACCTCATCTCAAGTTCACCGCCGAAGGTCCACATCCGCAAGTCCAAGCACTGGAGCATGTACGAGTACGTATGTTGGTGTCTATGTGTTTATGTGCGTGCACGTATACATTCCATGCTGCATTACACATGTGGATGTATGGAAAATGCTAATATGCGTGTATGTACATGTACGTTATACGTGCACACACACACCCATCCATCCATCCATACATCCATACATACATCCATCCATCATCCATCCATCCATCCATCCATCCATACATCACATACATGCAAACATACAAACATATGTCCATACATCCATGCATCCATACATGCATACATACAGACAGACAGTACGTTACAAACTACACCATACCTGCTTGACAATGCCTATTATATACACACCATACAACTTGATATTGTACAGCACATGCTTTACAATACAATGCAATACGGTACTATACTGCTATACTACACACTACAAACAAACACACTCCGCAATGAAGCTCAGCGTCTGGAGGGTTCGAATCTCGCAGTCCGTGATTTCAGAACCATCCTGGACTGCTTCCCAGAGTTCGATGGCCTGCCGGCACTTGCAACATGTGCAGCAAGCGTTTGGGGTTTAGCATCCTGTTCCTGCGACGTGTCCAAATAAGGACGAGGACAAGGACAACAACGATAAAGATCTTAGTTCAATCAGGAGTGTCGTCCATCGCCATCGCCGCTGTCGCCGTCGTCCTCCTCGTCATCTTCCGCGTCTTCGTCAGAATGACCCCGCGCCCTACAGTGCCCCCGGTTTAGCTGAACCTGGATCTTCACAACCACTAGGACCTTAGGACAAAATAGGATTTAGCCAATGCCAATGCGTAGAAAGCAAAGGTTATGAGGTCATTGCGTTACATCCAGGCGTGGGGTGATTGCCTTCCCAGAAGGAACAATAAACAAGCGACGCGAGTCGCAACGCCTCCTCGTAAGAGATATTGCCACTGCTGGCAAACTGCTCCGCTTTGTCCAGAAGTTGGCGGTCGTATTGCACCCGGGCGATGGTCTTGTAATACAAGCCTTCCAGGATAGACACTGAATGACTGGCATTTACCCTGGCTTGAAGCCAAATTACCCGAGTTCATTCACGCGAGAAGACTGCAGTAACATCAACAAGCTGCCCTAACCCACTGGGGAAGGCAAACCGTCCAACCGCACCAACAAATGTCGGTTTCATGGAGAGGCGTATAACAAAACAGCTCATGCAGTGCTCGAGATGCGAAACGACCTTGTCAAGAAGACCTCCCCCACAACCACACCCAAACCAATCATCGCAAACAAACAAAACGGCGAAAACTGAACGCACAAATGCACGATCAAACGAACCGACAAGCAAGCAAATATAAGAACGAGCAAACGAGCAAACAAGCGGACCAACAAACCAAACGCAGACAAACGCAGTTGTACCTACCTCTCGATGGTCAGTAACCGAACCCACACAGTACCCTCTGTTCAAAGTCTCGATTGTAGGATCGGGATGGATCGGGGTTCGTCCCTCGCAACCTGGCAAGTCCGTCGGTCCAAGATGCAGGAACCTCAAGGACAGAAATTCATGAGGATCTCCCGAAGGAGAGCCGGGTGGGCCTTAGCCTGCGTCCTAACTTTGCAGGCCAGGGACTGGCTGACTTTGCGCCCAGCTTTGATTCCAGGAATCTCCGTGCTTTGCTGGTAAACTGATGGTTGCCGAGAACGTACTTCCTTGACTCAAGTTCAGAAAGACATTTCACGACGCATGATTTAAGCAACCAAGCATGTAAACATCTCGATAGACAATCAACTCAGAAACAAAATGTCTGTGCATGATATACATTCTGTGATGCATATATGATACATGCAGGTATCACGCTGTGATGCGTATGTATGAATGATGCAATGTATGTGTGTCCGTATACAAAAAACAAGGGTACAACTCGATAAGCAAGCAAAATCTGCTAGCGTTCGAGCCCCGATTCAGCGTCTCCTTCTCGACCGCTGTCGCGCTGCGACCTGATCTGGAGGCTCGGCTTGGGGGTGTCGACTTCGACAGCTCGGATCGAACTCCGAACACCCGAGTCCTTGCGGTAACCCGTACAGGATACCCGTCTGGCAGTCCTCGACTGATACGACGAAACCGTGCTCTCCAGCCAAGGAGCCTTCGAATAGGTCTTCCCAGAGGGCGGTTGCTCCCTCGAGGGAGACCTGTTTAGGCCGAAGCCAGGAACCTTGCTACCAGCCCAATGCCAAGCTTAAGCCCCGAAACTCTGCCGCCTTGAAACCTCCTGCCCCTGCTCCACCCCAATGAGAACAACACTGCTTCCGTGCCTGGCCATCCACCTCCGCTGCCTGCACATCTCGAGTTCGGAACAGTTCCCCAAAGGCTTGAACCCTACTGAACTGAAACTTACAATCGTCGCCCAATTTGTTTCGTAGCCATCAACCGGCAGACTTGCAGCAGTTGGAACTTGAAGAACGGGATCACGGAGCCCTCAACTATGAACAGTGCTGGCGGACATGTTCAGCGAACTATCACTTGCGATCTAGCTAAACTCGCAGAGCCTGCACACGGTCCAGCAGTGCACGGTCGTACTTCACTCCATCAATAACTCCTCAGTGCATGCATGGGTCATTAAGTGTGTGGTTGGCGTGCTGCAGCACTTGTCGTCTTCAGGACACCCAATCTCTCACACAGGCTTCGACTTGAGGCCCTGCGGGTGAGCTTAACCGATGTGGGAACATGGGGCTGTAAGCAGAATGTGCCCCATCTATCGAAAAAGCACTCGGGTGTCAATCATATTCCTGCTTGGCTGCTGAAGGCATCACCGGTTTTCGCCCTCTTCGCAGGACTTTCGTAGGGCGATGGCATTGAAGCTCTTAAAGCTTTGGAGATGAGGCAGAGCTTGCGAAGTGTGGCCCGAAGAGTAATACAATGCGAGCTAGAAGATCGGAGATTATGCGTCTTGGTTGATGCATGGCTTCCAGCAAGACTGTCCCGTTCAAGTTCATCATGTTCTCGTCTGTTGAGCCGAATTGCAACGTGTTGCGATGTTACAAATGGACCATCCTGCGACATGAGCCGAGACAGGAACCATGCCTGCAATCACGGCCCCGCGATTTTCTTCGTGAGGTGGGCCCGAAGGCGATCGTGCTCTGGCGCATTTTAGCGCGCTTCGCGGCGCCCCCATGTCATCTGCCTGCACTCATGCTCTCGAAAGCGCAGAAACTCCACCTCTCGTTTATCACCTCTATTTTCGTAGGCTCCCCAAGCACCAAACCCGGAAGGAGACCCTTAGGTTGCCCTGTCCAGGACGGTGCCTGCAGCACTGCAGCACTTCCTCACAAGAAGCTACCGGTCCTAAGTTCACAAGTCCATCGGCTTTGACATTTGCACTGGGGGGGAGTCACTCAGAACTCGAGCTGACTTGGGGTGCTTGTTGTGTGTGGATTCAGGGCAGCACCGAAGCAGGGGAGCCTGCGATGCTGCACAACACTCGTATCTCGCACCGGGCTGCTAGAGTTCCACTCCGAGACGCTGCCTGATGTCCGCTAGGGCCAAGATGGGTCGGCAGCCTCAGAGAACTCGGAGAGTCGCAAGAACGCGAGCTGCCGTAATGGTGATGGATTGTAACCGGCAACACAAGAGGAAGGAAGATACTGAAGGAAGAACAAGTTGAACAAGTATGGAGAGCCGAATATTTTCGAAGAATCAAAGATGCTAGGACTTGTTGCCTTGTCTTGAGCTTGCTAATCCCAACTGCAAGTGTCTCTTGTTCGCGAGTTGAGGATGTCATGTCTTACGAAGAATCAGGCTGAATCACCCTGATAGGTTTTGCGAGATCTTGCTTCCCACCAGAACTAGCAAGAGCAGTGCTAAAATGCCGAAAACGAACAGAATCAACATACTGCAGACTTCTGCAATGAATCGATACAATAGCCTCCACAACTGCAACATTATTCCACAGGGAACGTATGTAATCATCACATAGCAGAAGAAGCAGGGACAGAACTAATAGCAGCAGCAGCATTCGCCGCAAGATGTCGTAAGAGGTGCCGCCCGTGTCGCCACTGCAACAGTCAAAGTAGGCAATGATGGCCAGCATCGAAACACTGCCAATACCGCTGATACTGCTACGGCAGCTGGTGCGGCTACCGCTACCAAGACTGGACATGAAAACACAACAGTGTTGCTGCTACAGCACCTACAGTAATGGCACCACCACCACCACCAACAACAACACCAACAACAAGAACAGCAACAGCAACAGCAACAACAACAACAACGACAACAACAACAATAACAACAACTAAAACTTCAACTTCTCGTCGCAACGGCGAAGGAATGGTGCAGGAAGACGACTAGCCGCAGCCGCCTATCACCAAGTAGTGAATCAACAATCGTTCATCCGAGAGCAACATGAGCCGCCCATGCAACATACACTGAAACCAATCCTGACATACTTGTAAACCAATTTCTATGAGCCTTTTTTGCTTAGTACAGGTTTGTTCACTTGAGCGGTTCTATTGTCCAAATGGTACTTCTCTGTCATGCTGCATGCACAGCTGCGACCCAAACTGCTCCCCGAATAGGGCCGCGGCAACGCCAAAAGCGATGGGTCCGGCATGGACATCATGTCCAAAGGCAGATAAGGCCTCGGGGGTCGGGGCGGTGGGCTATAAACAGGGTTTGAGGCCGTGCGCCGTTGATTGACCCAGGAACGTGTTTGGCACCTTACAGCGCACTCGTTTCGGATGTGCAAGCGCAGACATGTGACGGGCGTGTCATACAGTGGTTGACAACATTCCCGCCCTCCATACAGGAGATCCTGGCAAAGTCGGCCACCATCAGGTTCCACGCACTTCCGAAATGCGAAACCCTCACGTGCTTCTGATGTACCAGGTACGCCAAGGTCGGATGTGACGGAAAGCCTCGCAGGTGAAGCCAAGTTCCCGGCGGGTCCACCTTGGCAGACGTCGAGAACAAACAAGGCCATGCTCCGAACAGAAGCTTTTGGAGGCATCGGCATCTTCGGGCCGAACGCAAGGGAACACAAGTTCGAGATGTTGACAGCATCAGACAACCGTACCCTGGTACTGTAGCAACACTACAGTAACCTTGGGAGGCATGATGATGCCGATTGGCTAATGATGATGAAGGCAGTGGCTCAGGTGGTCATGATGAGCAGGACGAGGAAGAGGATGATGTGTCTGAGTCATTGTACAGCATAAGATAACGGGAACCCGAGGCTCGGAAACTCTGCTGATGTCTTCGACCTTGGCCCCCTGCGCCAGTTGGCATCTTCAGTGCCAGCCCCAACCTCATTTAGTACGTAGTGTCACCGCTTCACTTTAAGAGGCGTCTCCCCGGATGTCTCCGGGTGTCTAGGGGCCTAGAGTCCTCGGAATCCTCGGGCAGCTTGCAGTTCTGGAGGACGGCTCTGTTTCCTCCGCTCGCCTGAGCTCCCAGGCTGCCTTGCGAAGAACTCCAAGTCGTGCGCCTTGGCTTTCGGTGGCTCACATGGGGCTATGATTCCCTAGGACCTAGCTAGGATTCAGTCCTATGCAGCTCTTGCTTGATTCGAGTCAGAGTCCATGCAAGCTCTCGTCGATCTTCCTCGCACCCTCAAGGCTCTGGCATAATTCGCAGTGTCGGTTGCATAGTGTCGCACCTGTCCGGCCGAATCAGCGATTCGAAAGGGCCAATGGGTCCCAAGCGAGGGCCTTCGGGTCCAGCTTTGGCGCATGCATCATCTCCTCGGCTTCACCTGGCCAGGCAAAAACACACAGAAGGCGGACACACGCTGGTTCTTGGCCAGGCCCGGGACGTCGAGTGAAGTACAGGACCCGTGCAAGCTCGGCAACCTGCAAGAAAGCAGGAGTTTCCGCAGACAGAAAACCCTCAAATGCAGCCTGAGGGCCTGGCAGGTCCAGTTATTTTATTATGTGGCACATCCACACCTTGCAGACTTCGCAAAGGGAAAAGCCAGCATGAAAGACCGATGCAGCTTTAACGGTAGACTGTGGCATGGCAGCACGGAACACCATGGCATGCATGTCCTTGGAATCTGCACTGTCGATCTCAGGCTCCAGCTCACCTTCGAGCAACCGTACCTGCAAGCACGAAGAGACAAACCTGAACCCCTGCAGAGCACTGATCCTTTCTGTAGCATCTCAATCAAACTCGAAACGGAACGCCCAGGCCATGGCCCTATCTCTTAAACCCTCAACTCCATGGAGTCCCGAGATGCGGCGGGAGATGCGGCGGCCCTAGTTTATTTGGAGACCTTGGTCAGTCAAGGACTCTGTCTTTCATGCACAATTCGTGGCTCAGCAGTCCCACGCAGCTCAAGGCTTCGGTGCCTGCATGAACCTTCAACTCCAGACTTCACCCTCACACCCATCAACCTCGAAATGCCGTCCGACGTTACACGAATCCCTGCGAACAACACCCCTGGATCGACATTGTCAGATCAGCCCATCGTATGCATTCACTGCTCCCGGCAACTGCGGTACAGTGCAGCCATTATCTTGTGTGAATATGATGTAGTGTGGCCCTTAGCCTTAGACTGAAACCTGCGAACTCCCGCCTCTTTACCATACTGACTTCTTATGCGACCGCTTTTTGGTGGCGCACGGCACTCGGTCGAACTCCGAAATGGCCTGTCAAAAAGCAGGGCGCACCGTCGGTAGTTGTCGACATTATCATGGCACCATCTTCCTCCCTGCGATCATCATGTTGCCACTTACTGCACGTGGTTGCCTGGGCTCCGGTCGCGAAGGCTATCTCACCGAGAGCCTGCTTGCCTGGGCTTTGGGTGTCGGGTTGGGTGGCCCAAAAGTCTTGCGAAAGGGATGCACGGGTGTAGCATATGACAGGAGGGGCACATAACAACTTCCTCCCCGAACCTTGACGGCTCACTTACTTTAAATTTCTGATATGCACAAGCCATTTCCAAGTACAGCAGATCGGTATTGATATGGCTGTCATCGGCGGGATAGTTTTTGTTGCACTCTTGATTTCGCCGGTAGGGTAGTACGGTAGATACATCACGGTATATTTCGGCTGGCATTCGAACGTCGTAGTCTCTGGGTTTAGGTTCTGGTGTGGTGACTTTACAGCTTGCAATGATTACGATGAAAAGTTGTTGAGTAGAGATGAATGTGAGGGTGCTCTGAGACCTAAAGAAGAAGCCTGCCAGAAAGCTCCACAATATGTTGCAACCTTACGCCCTCCTGGCACTCCGCTGAGGTCTCGTCCCATGTGCTCAGCAGTGCAATGTGATTACTGATCCATGGGCACCACCGGCTCGCAACGCAAACGCAGCTGCCGGCATTCAGACTAACTGTAACAGATGCCCTGTCTTCGAAGCACTTGTAGATTCGTCTATAGATTCATCGGCAGCTTCGAGTAACACTTATCGCCTATGCTGAGCCTGGGATCAGGAACGGTTACACTCTGATGGCTTCGGAACATCGCCTGCCCCTGACCTGGTCGAGGCTGCGGTGGCACAGCGAAGCACAAAATCGCGGATCATTGTGCGAGCGTTTGCGCGAAGCCGGCTCGACTACTGCGGCTACTAAACGGCTTTCCGCTTTGCACAGGATCTTTCTCCGTTGCAAGCAGCACTTGAACTGCAGAACTCCAGCCCAACGCCTGGATGTCCAGCAACGCCAATCGATCTTCCCGGATTCAGCTGCGTGCCATGAAATACGCACCCAGGAGGGTGAAGAAGGATCCCAGCAGTTTTCTCCTCGATAGCTTCTCGCGCATGAAAACGGCGGACAGAAGCAGCGTGGCAGGTGGATAGGACGCAGTAATTGCAGACACGGCCCCTGCATCACCGTGCACCATCGCCCGAGTGTAGCACATGTTAGCCAGCGCCGCAGTTACTCCACTCAGCAGCGATGCCAGAATCGCAAACTTCGATCGGGAGAGAAGGCCAGGGCCGTCAGAGGGATCGCCCGACGAAGAGGGCTTCAGAATGACCGCCAGCGTGAGAAAGAATCCCAGCTTCTCCAGACCAGCCTCTTGAGAACCCGAGAGACCACGGACCAAAGCCAGCTTTCCCAAGAAGCCCCAGAAACCATACAGAACCAGGCACGCGAAACTCGGGGTCAGCCAATCTGCTCGGACAGCGGCCATGCTCATATGGGAGCACGGTGCCATGAGCTGGTTTTCGCCTTGAGCCAGGGGCTGTCTAGTTTCTTCCCTTGCCAAGCTTTCAGACTTTCTGGACTCCAGCAAAAGCCCTTATGTCGTGCAGCTAAACTCAGCTGCATGGAGATAGGGACTTGGGACTTTAATGGGACAGAACCTCCAACCAAGTCAGGGCTGCATTGATACCATCATAGGCTGGACACCGCAAGGTCCGCAAGGCCGAAAAAGACTTTTTCTTGGCTGAGGCGACGCGGTGTGCATTGCCTTCAAGCAGCGCAACCTTCTTGTCAAAAGTAGCTAGCATCGTTACTGTGCAAGCTATCGATGCCCATGCAGACTTAGGCTCATTTCCTGGAGACCAGTAGCATAGGTAACCGCAGGCTTGCAGGCAAAGCACGAGGGGTGTCTTTGAGCTGAAGTGGGACAGCTTGTGCCTGTCCCCTGCAGCATATCAGGAGATCTGGGAGTTTCGTCAGATCTCGTGCTATTGCAAGCAGTGCGTCTGTGAGCCAGTCTGACATCTATACGTGCTTCCGACAATCTGTCTCGAACTGCGGTTTACCAATGTATACATCGTCGCAACTGCACGTTTGACTGAATTCGACAGCGCTACTGACATGCAGCGCATGTCACTACAGTCTTGGTGCGACTCGATGTTGTACGAGAAATCGTGAATCGTGACGAATGAGTCAAGAAGGTTGGCTTGGCCTAGCATGCCATGTACTATCCAAACACCTATCCTGACGCAATTATAAAGACTGCAAGCGTGGGCCACAGGCAGGGTTGGAGTGGGGAATGTGCAGAATGTCATTCTGAGGCATTCAGAGCTGCCGAGAAGCGACTCTTCAACACTTCGCAGACCTCCAAACAGAACACAGTATGACAAGTATGATGTTGCGGCATTTCGCGCTTCGAGTATCCCATGCATCCTGACACACCTCCTACCCGTCCCTCCCGTATGAGGCAGGGACCTTCTCCAGATCCCCGGACTCCGCCAGCTTTCCCGCGACCTTGTCGAACAAGGCCTCGTCGACGCCTACAGCCACCAGTCCTGATGCGAAGAAAACTGGTGCGATCAGCACTACTTGATTGGCTGCATGACTCAAAGTACAAGCAGATGCAGGGCTCTTGAATTCTGAGTGTTGGCTTCTGTAAACACCGCCTTGGAAAGTCTACTGCGCACTATGGCCTTTGCCAGCAGACCTAAAGATCTACGGCAAACAACTTCGCACAGGCTGTTGTTGCCGCTTTTCGTGATGCTACGGGAGCACAGCAGGACCTGACTGAAGTGTGCCCCTCTTTCCTGAGGTCACATCAACCTCGGCTACACTGTGTCCCAAGACCTTGAAGCGTGCCACCGTGCATCGGCCGATTGGTTTATCTGGACGAATCGGGCTTCGGTGGAGTTCAACGTCAACCACTCTCGGAATGTTCGCAACTTCCAAGTTCTCGGCCCCCGATATGGTTCTGGTTCTGCAAAGCGCCGGGGATTGCTTAGAGCAAAAATCTTGCTTGAGGTGAGGCTTAATGGTTTCGCGGCGATGCAGGGGTAAATGGTAGATGGTATGCGCCCACTGGGACAACACCCCAGTTGCTCAGCCTCTTCGCATGCTGTTCAACTTCTGGCGTGGATCTGGAGGTGCCTCAGCATATGCCCCGTTTATAATTCTGATGTACTACAGAGGCTGGGAATTCACTACCGCTAGGTATTTGCAGCCTCTTCGCCGTCTGATCTGTTGTGAGGCCTGCTTAACATAATTTACATCATTTTGCATCCTTGACCTTTCCTCGAGCCACTCGGGAGGAATAGCACGTAGAGGTGTTAAGAGAAAACTCCCAAGACTGCATCTCAATTTCAGCGACGTACCTGATTGCGCTTGGTCTAATGCCATAGATGACGTTCCCAGCACCGATCGAGTCAACACATGCTTCAAGTGCAGCAAGCCATGTTGCAAAATGGTCAGCAAAACCTTGGAAAGGGTGGTCCCTGGATCCCAAGCAGCGGCAACAAAGTATCAACTCCGGCTTCTACGAATGCAGATTCCCACGTCCATGGGTCATGTTAACGGCAAGCGCTCCCGACATGGGAGCCGGACATTGGCGTCTAGGCGAACAGGGGCCTCAAGAAGATCGAGAGAACGGCTGGGCTTCGACATGCTTCGTCAGAACTCTTTCCAACTGCACGTCTTTGGACTCGAGCAGAGCGGGACCTAGAGAGCTGCCTGTTTTTCAGTCCACTAACGTTTGCGGGACGATACAAAATTACCGTAATGCGAAAGTCAACACCATGCTACACAGCTCATCACAGCTCTACTCCGGCACAGCTTGGAGGCCGGCGCTATCTGCACGGAGGTCGGAGCCACCGAGGAAGCGCTGGCAGAGAAGACAAGTCTTACGAGTAGGATGGAAGCAGGTCCAGGCCTTACCAACCATATAAAGTGAGCTTAGCTTCTCCGCAATAGCGAAGCATATCCGATTTTGGAGTGATGTCGAAGATGTAATCCTATGCGCACCTCGATACATGTACCAATGTACACGCCCGCCTGCTCGTACTTTATGTACATGTGCATTAAAGTTAAGTCTGTGCGTGCGTGCGTGCATGTGTGTGTGTGTGTGTCTGTGTGTGCGTCTGTGCGTCTATGCGTCTGTGCGTCTGTGTGTCTCTGTGTCTCTGTGTCTCTCTGTCTTTGTGTCTCTGTGTCTGTGTGTGTCTTGTGTCTGTGTGTCTGTGTGTCTGTGTGCGTGCGTGTGCGTGCCTGCGTGTGCGTGTGTATGTGCATAAAATATGTATGCATGTATGTATGCATGTATGTGTCCTTGTATGCACATGTATGTACATGTATGTTTGTGTATGTTTGTGCATGTATGTACTTGTGTATGTGCATAAGTATATACATATCTAACTTAAGTACTTACAAAGTTTTATCTATGTACGTATTTACTGCCATACTTCCTTATGAATGTGCAATATATCCATATATACAGATGTTGCATTATGCTTGTTCAGTTATG